GGAGCCTAAAGATGTGACTCCATTGCTCTAATCTCATGATAAAACTTGAACAAATGAGGAGTTTTTTATAAATGAACACAGAAAATAGTTTCGTGAGATGGAAACTTCTCGTGAAGATGCTCTGAACGTTGTTGAAACGACAATAAAATATCTAAAATATTACATAAACTTAGTTTACAAAGCACTAGCAGGGTATAAGAGTATTGATTCAATTTTGAAAGAAGCTCTACTGTGAGTAAAATGCTGTCAAACAGCATTGCATGCTACAGATAAATATTTTGTGAAACAAAGAGTCAATTGATACAGCAAACTTCAATGTTGTATTTTAAGAAATTGACACAGCCACCTCAACCTTTAGCAACTACTACCCTGATCAGTCAGTAGCCATCAATATGGAGGCAGGACCTTCCACTAACAAAAAGATTACAACTTGCTAAAGGCTCAGATGTTAGCTAGCATTTTTTTGGCAATAAAAATTTTTAAATTAAGTTATGTCCATTGGGTTCTTTAGACTTACTTCTATTGCACACTTAATGGACTATAGTAGGGTATAAACCTAACTTTTGCACGCACTGAGAAACCAAAACTTTCATGACTTGCTTTGAGACATTCGCTTTATTGTGGTGGTCTGGAACCAAACCCACAATATCTCTGAAGTATGCCTGTTAAGACTTTCCCAAACAAACAAAAATAGAGAAAATTTGTTGCCAGTAAACCTGCCTTGCAAAAAATGTTAAAAGAAGTTTTTCAGGGGCCGGGTGCGGTGGCTCAGGCTTGTAATCCCAGCACTTTGGGAGGCCGAGACAGGCGGATCATGAGGTCAGGAGATTGAAACCATCCTGGCTAACACGGTGAAACCCCGTGTCTAGTAAAAAATACAAAAAACTAGCCGGGCGAGGTGGCGGGCGCCTGTAGTCCCAGCTCCTCGGGAGGCTGAGGCAGGAGAATGGTGTAAACCCGGGAGGCGGAGCTTGCAGTGAGCTGAGGTCCTGCCACTGCACTCAAGCCTGGGTGACAGAGCGAGACTCCATTTCAAAAAAAAAAAGAAGTTTTTCAGAGAGGGATAATAATATAGGTCAGAAATTTTGCTTTACATAAAGAGCATCAGAGAAGGAATACGTGAAGGTAAAACAAAAACTTATTCTTCTATTCTTAATTGGTTGAATATACAACAGTTTGTTAATAATAGCAGGCTGGACACGGTGGCTCACGCCTGTATCCCCAGTACTTTGGGAGGCCAAGGTGGGCGGATCACGAGGTCAGGAGATCAAGACCATCCTGGCTAACATAGTGAAACCCTATCTCTACTAAAAATACAAAAAATTAGCTGGGCATGGTGGCAGGCGCCTGTAGTCCCAGCTACTCGGGAGGCTGAGGCAGGAGAATCGCTTGAACCCAGGAGGCGGAGGTTGCAGTGAGCCGGAAAATCATGCCCACTGCACTCCAGCCTGGGCTACAGAGCGAGGCTCCGTCTCAAAAAATAAAAATAAAAATAAATAATAATAATACTAATAATGGTAATGGCAATAATGTATTTAGTGTTTGTAACTTACGGATAACCTTGCACTATCCATGAGGTAGTACAGTGTTACTCAAAAGCAGATTTGGATTAGATGCAAATGTATATTGAAAATGCCAGAGCAACTACTAAAAAAAGTAAATAAATAAGTAAGTATACTGTAGTTGATATGCTAAGGAGCAAAAAAAAAAGGATCACATACAAAATGCTAAGTTAAACCACAAAAGGCAAAAAAAGAGTGGAAGAACAAAAAACAATGAATAGAATGCAGTAACAAATAAGGAAGATATTAATCCAACAATATCAATAATTAAACATCAATTGTTGTGAACACCAATGAAAAGAGATTGTCAGAATGGATCAAAAGACCCAACTATATATGGTCTACAAGAAATGCACTTTAAATATAAATACACATCAAGATTAAACATAAAGGGATGGAGAAAGATATAGTAACTTGAATCAAAAGAAAACTCAGTAGCTACATTAATTTCAGAGAGAGCAGACTTCAAAGCAAGGAATGTTATCACAGATAAAGACGGACTTTACATAATGATAAAAGGACTCAATTCTCCAAGAAGATGTAACAATCCTTAAAGTGTATGCACCGAACAACAGAGCATGAAAATACACGAGCCACAAACTTATAAAACTCCAAGGAGAAATAGATGAATACACTATTTTAGTTGGAAACTTCAACACCCATCAGTAATGGACAGATTCAGCAGGCAGAAAATCAGTAAAGACATAGTTGAACTCAACAGCACTATCAATCAACTGCATATAAATGACATCTATAAAATACTTCATCCAACAACAGCAGACGACACATTCTTCTCAAGCTCACATGGAACATTCACCAAGACAGACCACATTCTTGGCCATAAAACGCACCTCAACAAATTTAAAAACAAAAATCATACAATGTTTGCTCTCAAATCCCCCAGTGAAATTAAGCTAGATACCAGTAACAGAAAGGTAGCTTGAAGATCCCCAAGTACTGGAAGATTAAACAACCCACTTGTAAATAACACTTGGATCAAAGAAGAAATCTCGAGAGATATCTCAAAGACAATATCGTCAGTATGTTAGTTCTTCCTAACTTCATCTATAGATTCAATGTAATTTCAAGGGAAATTGCAGCAAACTATTTGTGGACATTGACAGAGTGATTCTAACATTTACATGGGGAAGCAAAAGACCCAGAGTAGCCAACACAATATTGAAGGAAAACTAAGTCAGAGTACTGACACTACTTGACTTCAAGCCTTACTATAAACTTCCAATAGTCAAGATAGTGTAGTATTGGCAAAAGAATACACAGGTCAATAGAACAGAATAGTGAACCCAGAAATAGATACCCACAAATATAGTCAACTGATATTTGGCAAAGGAGCAAAGGCAATATGATGGAGAAAAGACAGTCTTTTCAACAAATAGTGCTGAAGCAATTGGACATCTGCATGCAAAAATAAATACATAAATCTGGACACCACCTTATACTTTTCAGAAAAACTCCAAAACTCTGATAACAGCAAATGATTCCAAGGATGTGGATGGGAATGCAATATGGTATAGCCACATTGAAAGACAGTCTGGCAGTTTCTTACAAAACTAAACATACTCTTACCACATGATCCAGCAGTTATAGTCCTTGATAATTATTCAAATTATATTTTATTTACAAAAAACCTGCACACAGATGTTCATAACAGTTTTATTCATAATTGCCAAAACTTGGAAAAAACCATAATGTCCTTCAGTAGGTGAATAAACAGTGGTACATCCAGACAATGGAATATTATTCAGCCCTAAAAAAATGAGTTATTGGATACAAAAAACAGAAAGAATGAATAATACCTACTATTTGATAGCACAGCAGGGTGACTATAGTCAATAATAACTTAATTGTACACTTTACAATAACCAAGAGTGTAAATGGATTGTTTGTAACGCAAAGCATGAATGCATAAAGGGATAGATACCCCATTGTCCATGATGTGATTATTATGCATTGCATGCCTGAATCAAAACATCTCATGTACCCCATAAATATATACTCACAAAAATTAAAAATTAAACATAAATGAGTTCTCAAGCCATGGAAAGACAGGCTGGGAACTTAAATTCCTAATCAAAAGAGCCCAGTTTGAAAAGGCTACATATTGTATGTCTACCTATATATCATTTTGGAAAAAACAAAACTATGGTGACAGTTATAAATCCATGGTTTCCAGGGGTTGGTGAGCAGGAAGGATGCAGAGACAGAGCAGAGAAGATTTTCAAGACAGTGAAACTATTCTGTATGATACTATAATGATGGATGATACATGCCATTATACATTTGTCAAAACCCATAGAATGGAGAACATTAAGAAGGAACTCTAATGAACTATGGTGTTGGGGTGATAATGATGTGTTAAGGTAGCTTCATCAAAGACAACAAATGTACCAAACACGTGGGATGCTGATAGTGGGGGAGGCTTTGCCTGTGTGAAATCAAAAAAGTATATGGAAACTCTCTGTACTGTCCACTCAATTTTGCTGTGAACCTACAATTGCTCTAAAAATTAAATTCTAGGTCAGGTGCCCTGGCTCACACCTGTAATCCCGACACTGTGGGAGGCCTAGGCAGGAGGATTGCTTGAGTCCAGGACTTTGAGAACAGCCTGGGCAATATGGCGAGTCCCCATCTCTACAAAAAATTTTAAAAGTTCGACAGGCATGGTAGTGCATGCCTGTGGTCCCAGTTACTTGAGAGGCTTGAGGCAAGAGGATCGCTTGAGCCAGTGCACTCTAGCCTGGGCAACACAGTGAGACCCTATCTTAAAAAAAAAAAAAGTAAAAAGTCTATTTTAAAAAATTTGCTAGGCATTCGATGAACTTTAAAGATCATGTTTCTAACAGAAAATAAACAACCTTGCATTAGTGAATGGAATTTTTTTTAGGACAAATGCTATGCTGAAGCACAGAGAAATGTAAAGAATCTGTAAGACAACTTAGGTGAAAGCTTTAGATACTCGGTTCTATGAATATACGCAAAAACGAACGGTGAAATGGAAATCTTAATTGAAATGCTTAAGTTCTAAGCATCAAAATTTTTACCTTTTTTTTTGGAAGAATGTCAATGGGAATTACTGCCTGAAGACTTACATTCGGGTATGGCTTAACTTTCTTTTTTTTTTTCTTTTCTTTTTCTTTTTTTGTTTTTTAAGGCGAGGAGCACTTTTATGTAGACTTCATTTCTCTCTAAATGCTTAGAGGAGAACGGCCTGGTGGTCTGGGTCCCTGCTCCCTTCCCAAGAAGTGGCATGGAAGCTCTGGCAAGGAGGAGTGATGTGGCAAGCGGTTCACTGATTAGAGAAGGAAGCGTAAAAAATACCCCCACCTTGGAAGAGTTGCTCAAGGCCAGGCCCGTGTGATAGTGGTCAGGCAGCCCACTGACCATGCTGGGGAAGACAGGACGTTCTCCCAGGTCTGGCTACTGAAGCCTGGGTGTTCTCGGGACCCCTCTGTGTGTGCGTGTGCGGCTTCGCTGGCTCAGGCGTGGCTCGCTGGGGCGCCACGGACGGTAAGGGGAATGCCCCCTCTCTCGGTGTAGGGCGGAGCTTGTGCGGATGGGGCCCGGCCGCGACCCGCGGCCAACCCTGGCGTTTTCTTCGCTTCTATGTCGGATGTGGCGCGTGGAGGAGTCGCTGGAGAAATGCCGGTAGGAGGGCAGATAGGCGACCTGGCGGCGGGGAGGGAAAGGCGGTCGAGCCCAGGGAAAGAACGAAGTGGGCGGTCGGGGGGAGCGGAGGTCTCCTCTGCCCGCTCGGTCCCCTCGGCCGTGTGGGTCCGCTCGGTCGTCTCGGGGCCGCCTTCGGCCCGCCGGGGCTGCACGTCTGTTGGCGTGGCCATGCCTGACCCACCCGTCCACGGCTTCGCGGCGGGGCAGGTCCACGCCCCAAGCGTCTGCCAGGTGGGCCAGCAGCAGCTGGGAGAGGTGGCGGTGCGCGCGCTCGTCCCAGTGCACGCCGTCGGGGAGCCGGTGCCGCGCGGCGTGGCGGAAGTGGAAATGCAGGTCCAGCACGTCGAAGCCGCGCCTCTCCGCCTCGGCGGAGCTGTAGAAGTTGGCCTCCATCACATCTTCGCGCAGGTGGGCGCGACGGAGATGGCGCGCGCAAGGGAGGCAGCTTCCCGAGATGGTGTCAGCCACGGGCATGGCCGTGTTCCACAGCAAGAGGCAGGACGTGGGCAGCGCCCAGTCCAGCCGCGCGAACAGGCTCTCCACGTCACGCCGGTAGCTCCTGGGGAAGCCCCGGCCATCCCTGGCCAGGTCCCAGAGGCAGGAGTTCATGACCACCACGTCCGGGGCGGGCTCGGACCTACGCAGCTCCTCCACGACGCGCTCCGCGTAGTGCGAGTACACGCGCGTGAGGAAGTAGAAGCGCACCAGGTGGTGGCCCGAGCGGAACTGGCGCACCTCGCGGTAGTGGCTGCCGTAGTGCATGCGGCCGCTGCTGCAGCCCACCAGCAGCATGTCGCGCTCGAAGCTCAGCTCGCCCTTGGCCTTCAGCTGACTGGAGGACAGCAGGCAGTCCTTCTGCAGCAGGAGCACCAGGTCCTTGTACACGGCCAGCTGGACTGAGTCCCCCATGACCACCACGAACTTGTTGTGCAGCAGCTGCCGGACTTCGCAGGCTCGCAGCTGGGCCATGGCGGCGGAGGCAGGGCGCGCGGCTGAGCTCCCGCCTTTCTTCAGCGCAGATCCCAAGAGGATTCAGGGACCTGCAGGACCGCTAGGTGCAGGACCGCTAAGGTCGTCTCTGCTCAGCGCCGGGGCGTGGGCCGAGGAAAGACGCTGGGGTCGCGCCCCTGAAGGCCGCCTGAGCGCAGTTTACTTCAGCCGGGGTGTGACCTCTGAACCGCGGAGGCTCCCTTGCGAGTACTGGCTCCACCTGGTGGAGGGGAGGCGCGGAACCCCCGCGGGAGCGCCCCGCTAGCCGTGGGGCGGCGAGCGCTCCATTTGGGTGGATCTGTGCTGACTTTCAAGTAGCGCCGCCGCGGACTGCGCTTAGTTTGCTCTCAGTGCCGCCTGCCCACGGCCTTCTCTTTGTTTCACCAGCAGCGGCTCGCCAGTGGAGGCCGCCGTCCAGTGTGGAGGCCGCTTCTTAGTGTCGCCTCTCAGCGTTCCTTTGTCCGGTGGAGAATGTCTTCATCGCCGGCTTGGCTCTCCTTCCGTGCCAACTCCTATCCTGGGGCATTTGGGAAATGCCTCCTCTGGAGGAGGGATGCCATTCCTAGGGGTAGAGCCCGTCCTGGGAACTGACCTGCTAGGTCAGTCTGTTGGCAGAATACTCAGGGCAACCTGTACTGGACTGCTCAACTCTATTTTAGTTAAAATATTTCTTACCAGCTCATGGAGGATTCACATGCACTTATAACACATAATACAGAGATCGCCGTGTACACTTTACCCATTTCCCCCACCGGTGGCGTCTTGGAGAGTTGTAGTACTTCGGCGCCCTCAACATACAGACTCTTTCCTCTGCAAAAGGATGCCTCCCATCGTCCTTCCAGTGCCAACCACCTTCCTCCCCCTCCATTGCCCTGATGCCTGGCAACCACTAAGCTGTTCTACACTTACAGAATTTTGCCATTTCAAGAATTCTATTTAAATGGAATGACATAATATGTAAGCTTGGGGGACTGGCTTTTTTTCCCCTGAAGCATTGTTCTCTGCAAATTCGTTCAGTGTGTTTACTTTGTAAACCCTGACCACCTGTTTTCTGTACTAGGAAGTGAGTTTCCAGTGGTACCAAGGTGTCAATACTTTGTTCCCTTTTTATTGCTGAGTACTATTCAATGGTATGGATGGATGTACCATAGTCAGTTTAACCAGTTACCCGTTGAAAGGACTGGAGGGTTTCCACTCAGGCTATTACACATCGCATTGTTACGAGCATTCCTGGGCAGGTTTTTCTACAAACCTAGGTTTTCATTTCTCCAGGATAAACCCAGAACTGCAACTGCTGAGTGGTATAATAGTTATGTATTTATTTAGGGCTTTAGGAAATGCCCAGACTGTTCGCCAGAGCGGCTGTACCATTTTATGTTCCCACTAGTAATGAATTAGTGGCTAATTTCTTTGTTTCTGAGGTGTAGATATGCATATCCTGGATATGTAAAAACCCTGGAATTCTTATCTATATGGAGATGGATATGACTTTCCTGGTTGTATGAACCCTGGTTTCCTTCTTCCTTGGATATGGATATATAAGTGTCAAGCTGTGTAAGTAGGCCTCCTTCATCTTTCGGTATGGATGTGAGCTTCCTACCCGGTGTAATCCTAGCCTCTTCATCCTCGGTTAGGAATATGAGCTTTCTGCTGAATAAATCTGGACTTCTTTCTCTTCATCCTTGGTTCTGAGTGCAAAATTCTTGGACCTATTTTTAACAGAGGTTAATAAACAATCACCTTTTAAAATATTCCTTATGATTGTCCTGTTTATCAGTTAAGACCTTTGTGTGAAACAGCTAATTTTGGAGCCAGTTATTGTAATTTTTAGTTATGACATAAACATTGTGAAAATTGTCAAAGTCAAAATGCAGTCACTTGTGTTAAAAATCTCTGACGAATAGAGGTAAGGAAAGCCGTAAAGGGAGAATTCTCCTGCATAAATGTCCCAAAGGAAGTATCACAAAAGTGTCCACAAAAACCACAATCTTGCACAAAGGTCATCACAATCTTACAATCTTACACCTCTGTCAGAACATCTGCCCAGCAACTGCCTGTCCACCCTTGGACTGGCACCACCCTTGTTGTTACTGATCCTTGTAGCCAAAATAATTACCTAAAAACAGTGACACAATCCTCATTTTTCCTTTAGAAACCTCTGTCTTCCTTTACTTTCCTGAATACTCGCATAGTTAACTATGGCACATATGTTCTCACTGAAATACCTATTTCTGAATAAACATAATTTCTTTTTGCAGAATCTCCTTCTGTGTTTTCTATTTAGGTTGACAATATAAATTTGTGAAAACCATAAAATTCATAAATAGACCGTTATCAAGAATTGTACTTGTCTATACATTAAGGGGACTTTATATGCTTTCATCCTTACCTATTTTATATAAATATATGTATAAAATACTAGATATAAATCAATTGGTTTGGTAATTTCTTCTCATATTTTACATATTTTTAATTAGTGGGAGCGTCAAAGCCTTTTGCCTTCACTGCAAATGAAAGCATGGTTTATATTGGTTTAACAACTACTTTTTGGCCCTTAAAATCGTTTGTCCTTATTGCCAAGAAAGAAAGCTGAAATTATTCACTAGTGTTTGTAAGAATTACCTGAAATTCTATATTATTTCGTGAAAACAAAGTGATTTATTTGTATGTTGCATTTTAAGGGTAATAATTGAATAAAACTAAAGTCAGTTTATAATAACCTACACAATCACCTTTTGTTCAGACTACATTAATGGACATGCTACCCTCTCTTGGGGAGATTTTGTCACCTTCAGGATAAAATGAAGAAAAAGATTTTAAACCCAAGTTATGGTGATATAGAAGCCTCATACTGTATCTTTTTTTAAATTTTTGGACGGAGTCTTGCTCTGTCACCCAGGCTGGAGTGCAGTGGTGCTATCTCAGCTCACTGCAGCTTCCACTTCCCAGGTTCAAGCGATTCTCCTGCCTCAGCCTCCCAAGTCGCTGAAACTACAGGTGCCCACAACCATGTCCGGCTAATTTTTGTATTTTTAGTAGAGGTGGGGTTTTGCCATGTTGGCCAGGCTGGTCTTGAACTCCTGACCTTAGGTGATCTGGCTGCCTCAGCCTCCCAAAGTGCTGGGATTACACACATGAGCCATCGTGCCCAGCTTCATTCTACATCTTTAAAATGAACATGTATGGCTAAAGAAGCATTATGTTTATTTGAATGCTATTATAATATTGAAGTTGAAACTTCAATATGATTAAAGGAAAGAAACCAATTTTAATTTCTCTTAAGGGGTTATTTTTTTTTTTTTTTTGCAAAGATAAAGAGGTCTGTCTTAAGAGCACAGTGAATAAATATTATCATTTAACCAGTTAATTTTTACAGCGTTCTTATCTACTTGTTTATCCATATTGAGTTTTTAAAAAATCAGTTAATTTCTAGATTTGTGGGTTTTTTTGTGTTGTATAAATACAACCTTAAAAGACATTGTTCTGTGTTTAATTCCACTCTATGTACAAAGACATTTCATTTTAGGACCAGTAAATGTTAAAGCTAATAGAAAACCACGTCAACATTTACTTTGTTTAACTCATTTTCCAATATTATCATTTTAATTGTTTATTTCCAATGCCTAAAATTTGTTATTAATGATATAAGAATATGCAATTTGTTCAATTTAAAGTATAGCATAATATGAACTTACTTTATGATATTTTAAAGTATTTTTTCAGTATTCTTCAGTATTTTTTTCAGTATTTTTTCCAGTATTTTTTTCAGTATTTTAAAAAATTGCAAATACATGACCTTAAAAATTCTAGAGAAGAACAAATAAATATTCAATCTTGTATTTACTCCTACCTGTTCTCAAAGATGTGTATCCATCCAGTCCTCTTTTTACAGTGTCACAAATAATTAAATATGTGTATATGCTTTTATATTTTTACATAAAATATCCATAGTATTCTATAACTTACTTTTTCATGTAACATTATATGACAAACATCTACCTTGAGTCAAGTACCCTAGAAAACAGAGCTTAAAGAAAAAGCTGATGTGCTCACTTATTCTCAGGTAAATCCCAGAGAAATAGGAATAAGGGAAGAAAAGAGAACAAATATGATGGGATACATTACTGGGCTGACTATGTGGGTGTCAGTTGCAACTGACTGCATGATCTCATGGGATCATCTTCCCAGATGTTGAGTAAACTGTTTCATGTCAGGACAGTTAATCTCTGAAATGAAGGGAGAAAAGTGTATCTATTAGCTCAGTCTCCCACATGTGAAAAGTTCATTCTCTGTACAGGGCATACAGTTCCCCTGTGATTCCAGATTACCAGTGTGTAATCTGGTAATTACTTTTACCTTAAACTTAATTGTGATATTAAGTTCTCACCAGTGTGTGAGAACTAAATGGATCCCCCTGCCACTAATAGCTCAGCAGCAACAGAAAATCCCTGGGGGCCTAAGGTGGGCAGTATAGTAATGTCTGAGAAAGTGAATTGTCACCGTAACACCAGGGTAAAACTAGGGCCTGGACACAGGTACTATCAAAAGAATCTGATGTGCTACTATGTATTGATGACTGAAACATGCTTTTCTGGGTTTCTTGTGCCTTACAGGTATAGCTCATACCTTTAAATGGCTGAATAGTACTTCATTGAAGGAATACACTACAAGGTATTTAAATAATCTAATAATATTTGTAATGATAATAAAGGAAAAAGGAAACAAGGCAAGGAAGGATGGGAAAGGGCAAACTATTGTCTTTGGTCTTTAGACAGGAACTTGTCAATGAATTCTTTCATCCAAAACTCCAACCTCTATTTCCTACCTCTAACTCACTCAAGATCCAATCCCATATGCATTCTTCCAATTCCTGTTGATACATATTAGCTAGGTCATGAAATGCCTTTAGCATGGAAGCTGGGATTATACTTCCATGCACAAGTTGTGTTAAGACGTGATCTGGCTATTGGCCTAGAAGC